GATAGAATGAGTGTAAAACTGATATACTTCCATGTAAACGATCACTCAATTCACAATAAAAGCTTTAAAAAAAAAAAAAAAAAAGTACTCCAACCAAAAATAATGAAAAATTTCCATGAACTTTTTAAAGTCCTCTTGTGTGTTTGACTTACATTCATCCTATGCCATAATAATTATTTTCAACATTAAAAGTATAATGGAGTCTGGAGTCTCCCAAACCAAGAATCCCTAAAAAGTGAAGACAAAGTATCAGGAATGATGATTAGAAGGGCCCTTTGTGTACCTGGTTTGGAATTTTCCATTTTATTGACAGGAAGGCAAATACATGCCTGTCCTGCATCCTCCTCTGGTCTGGGATTGGCTGCTCTGCTCCAGCACCTTTGCTCAGCTCCGCCCAGTGTCTCTTGGCTGTGGTCTCTCTCTGAATCTTTGACAGATCTGGTTCTGGCTGTGCTGAGATGGGGCTGCCCCAGTTAATGCTGTGGTTGAAGAAGCTCTGGGTGCTTTTGAAGGTGACCCTGCATGTGGCCGTGGGCAAGGTACTACTGACACTGTTCCCTGAGAGAGTCAAGCAGAGCATCCTGGCCCAGAACCCCCACTTTGCCTATGACATGTGGAGCTCGACCATCTTCAGCATCCCATACTTCAGGTTTATCCTGAAGGTCCATTGGCAGCGACTGGAAGACAAGACTGAGCAAGGGGGTCTGGCTCCAAACTGTCCTGTGGTCCACCTTTCAGGTCAAAGGTGCAACATTTGGGACTTCATGCAAGGTCAGGAGGCAGATACAGGTCTGAGGGGTGCTTGGATTGGGATGGCTGGAGAAGGCGATGATGAGTTGAAAAGTCCAGAATTCTTCTTCTACTACTCCAGTTGCTCCTTTTGTTTCTTGTCTTCTTTCTGTGTCTTGAAACTGGGAATGCTCTTGTAGTCATACTGGTCTTTCAGTTCCTAGAACTGTGCTCTTGTATTGAAGTAAGTTCTACCTGGGATGTTCTTTGTCCATCTCTGCCTGTTTAATTCATGGTCATCCTTCAGACTTCTGCTCAATGACATTTCTTGCAAGAAGGCTGTGCCACTTCTCTTAGACTAGACCACCCCCTCTGATACTCTTGATTCACATCCTAAGTTTATCCTTATTACACCTGCTGCAGTGTGTCATTATGAGTGGGTATTTGATTAAGGAGTTCTGGTGTGGCACTGTAGGATAAACACAGGACCTCAAAGGTCAGTTTGAACCACAAGGTTGCTCTTGGGAAACCCTATACTGGATTGCTGAGTTGGAACTGACTCCATGGCACTGAACAACAACAACCACTTGATTAGAAGGGAGCCTGTTGGTATAGTGGGTTGCGCATTGGGCAGATAAAAGCAAGGTCAGCAGTCCCAATCCAACAGTTGCTCTGTGGGAGAAAAATGAGGCTTTCTGCTTCCCAGAAAGATTTACAACCTCAGAAACCCTATAGAGGGTTGCTGAGTGTGAACTGACCACCACCACCATTTGATTAAGGTCTGTCACCTTCAGTAGTCTGCAAGGAAGACTGAGACAGTCACTTAACCCAACACTGCCTGCCCTGGGCTGGATGCTATGTCTGGCAGATGGAAGGTGTTCAGCAAATACTTGTTGAATTGATTTCTCTCCTCTTTCACTGTATCTCTTTCACCCTTTCTATCCTCTCTTCTTCCTCCCAACTTTCTCCCCTGTATACAGACAATCCATTTCTATCTATTTGGGTTCTTAAAAGATATTATCAATCAATTTCTTATTTTTGTCCTCACACCTCTCTGCGCCCTCTCTGCTTGTCTACGGCATTGCCGACCCTGGCTACTCAGCAAGAAGATTGATGGAGCTTTCCTGGCCAGGACTTTCTTCTCCCTCTCCTGTCCTCTCTTCTAATCCAACTTGTGGACAGCTGTCAGATTACTCTTCCAAAAGGGCATATCTGTCTGACCCATATCCCCAGCCCAACAACCTTCAACCATTCCCCTCTGCATTCAGAACCAAGTGTAGACACAGCCTTGCATCTGAGGTTCTCCCTATTGTATTACATAGGAAAAGCACTGGACTGCTAACCACAAGGTCAGCAGTTTGAGCCTACCAGCTGCTCCCTGGAAGAAAGACGAGGCTTTCTGCTCTGGCAAAGATTTATAGCTTCAGAAACCCTATGTAGGATTGCTATGAGTTGTAACTAGCTCAAAGGCACTTAACAACTACTGGACTCCAGCTCTCTTCCCAATTTTTTCTCCAAGTTTCCCATCACTCATTTCTTCTAGACAAACTGAACCTCCTGTTGGATCTTATTCATCCCTAGGGCTTTTCCTTCTGCTTTTGCTGATGTCATTGTCTTGTCTGAAAACGCCCCGGTCCTTCCCCATTCCCCTCATTCTGTAGGCTCCAGGTGCCACACTTCTTCTAGGAAGCTAGCTCAATCTCTGTAGGTAGGCATGCATGCTCTCTCTCCCCCTTCTTGACTCATGGCTCCCAGCCTGAACCTCTCCTTGGGCAGTTTTCCTACTGAGAATCTAACTACCTAAGTACAACTCTTTATCTTCCTGCTGACCGAGAGGCTCATGACAGGGTTCATATCTGATTCTTCTCTGAATTCCAGCATGCTTTGTCTAGGGCTTGCAAACACCAGGTAGAAAAATCCCCCGAGGAATTCACAGTGTGGTGCTGTAGGATAAGCATGGGACTGCTAACTCACTGGAGTCCTGGTGTGGCGCTGTGGGTTAATGAGCCAGACTGCAAAGTCGTTTGAAAGGTCAGTGGTTCAAGCTCACCAACTGCTCCTAGGAAACCCTATATAAGGTCGCTATGGGTCAGCACCAACTCGACAGCACTTAACAACAACAAAAGCTAATCCACCAGCCTCTCCTTGGAAATCTGACTATGAGTCAGAACTAACTTGACAGCCTTTAACAACAACAACAACAGTATGTTTCAAAGCATGTTCTATGGAACCTAGAACTCTCTGGTTACAGGGAAGAGCAGCCCTGATTACCGTATTTCCTCTAGAAGAGGGGGTACACATCACAATTTAGTCTCTGAGAAATGGACTCCAGACTTTCTGTAATCATGGAGGCTGTATGAACCCTTGAAACTATTCCCCTGAGATAATCTTCAAAACTTAAACCAAAAATATCCCTTGCAGTCTCTTTACAACCAAACAATAGGTTAGCATAACTAGTAAAAAATATCTGCCTTGAGCATTATGCTTTTCTAAAAACTATACACAAAGTTACAACAGCAGCTCAAATGACTGGATAGGAACCTTAGAAGGCAGAAAGCTCATGTTAATAGAGGAGGAGCAATTCAGAAAAAGAGGGCATGAATGATTGCACAACTGGAAGAATGTAACCAATATCACTAAATTGTTGCTGTTGTTAGGTGCCATCGAGTCGGTACCAACTCATAGTGACCCTATGCACAACAGAATGAAACACTGTCTGATCCTGGGCCAACCTCACAATTGTTGCCACGCTTGAGCCCATTGATGCTGCCTCTTTGCCAATCCATCTCACTGGGGGCGGTCTTCCTCTTTTTCTCTGACCCTCCACCTTACCAAACATGATATCAAACATGACTGGTCCCTCCTGACAATATGTCCCAATATGAGAAACGACGTCTGGTCATCCTGGCCTCCAAGGACCACTCTAGCTGCACTTCTTCCAACACCAAATTGTAGAAATGGTTAAAATGGTATATGTTTTGCTATTTATATCCTCAACAACAACAAAAATAAAATTTAGAAAAACAACCCAGCCACATCAATATCATTAGGAGGTGCTTTTAGAATAAAATTTTACTATATATGTTTAAAAATGAACACATTTTATTAACTGATTCTGTTATATTGTTTAATAGTGCAGTTCTAATATTTAAAATGACAGCTCAACCTAGAAGAAGAAAAAAATAGCACAAAATGTCTTATGTAAAATTGTAAAAATAATTTTCAATTTATATACATACCCTTATTGCAGAAGAAAATTATATACTAATCAATAAAAGGCTATTAACATTTTAAAAGCCTCTGCAAAGCCTTGAAGTTAAAGCAAACAAAACTTTTTAAAAGTTTGTTTAGCACAGCATTGCCTAACTTTCTATAGGAACTTCCCTCTACCATATACATACTTTCCAGTCCCCATCCAAGAATATGTCCTTTATCACCATTTTGGTTCCTTGGGTGATGCAAATAGTTAAGAACTTAATTACTAATCATAAAGATTGGCAGTTTGAATTTCCCCAGAGAAGACTAGGAAGAAAAGCCTGGTGATCTGCTTCTGAAAGGCTTGAAAACCCCACGGAGTACAGTTCTACTCTGCACACATGGCGTTTCTATGAGTGGAATTGGCTCAATGATAGCTGTTCTTTTTGTTTGTTGATTTGTTTTTGTTGTTGTTGTTGTTATTTTTAAGAACACTTTTTTGGTAAATACTGCTTGACCTAATCCAATCCCCGTGTTTCAGAATGAAAAAGGAGAAAATTGAGACCAAAAGGGAACAGAGCCAATGAGTGACAGAGTGAAACCCTGACTCAGGATCTAGCCTCTTGTTTATTTAATGCACCTCAGCAAACATTCATGAACACCTGCTGTGTGCCAGACCTCAGCTAGATGTCAGGGACTCGAAATTTAATAATAGCTTGCTCCTAGCTCAAGGAGTTGTTCCACAGAGCCAGTAAATACAATTAAAAACAAAAAATCTTTATGGTCCCATGAGATAGGAGCTGAGATAAAGGTATGAAGTTTGCCTCCAAGGCTGTGAGGTTACCAGTGCTTGGAAGTTGTTGTTGTTGTTAAGTGCCATCAAGTCGATTCTGACCCATAGCAACCCTGTATAGGGTTTCCAAGGAGCAGCTGGTGAGCTTGAACCACTGACCTCGCAGTTCAAAAGACTTTGCAGTCTTTACATTACATTAACCCACAGCGCCACACCAGGACTCCATGACTTTGGAAGTAGGCCCTTAAAGAATGGATATGGTTTTTGTAGCTTGAGCAGGAGACAAGGAAGTATTTCATGCAAAGGGAAGGGAAGAGAGAGTTCTTTTTCCTTCTGATTTTAAGTCACACAAATGACGTTTTTTTGTTCAACAAACATTCACTAAAGCAACCACTGATAATAAGAGCAATGAAATGGCAACACATTTTTATCAGGTGTCTACTATATGTGGTCTGTCAGACTGCAAAACTATTTGAACTGCTAGGTTGGCAGTTCAAGTTCACCAGCTGCTCTTCGGAAACCCTATACAGGGTTGCTATGGGTCAGAACCGACTCAACGGCACTTCACAACAACAACAACAAGTATATGTGGTGTTCTGGTGTGGCACTGTGGGTGGAATAAAGCACTGGACCACAAGATCAGTTTGAACCACAAAGTCGGTGGTTCAAACTTACCAGCTGCTCCTCCGAAAACATATACAGGGTCGCTATGAGTTGGAATCGCTAGACAGCACTTAACAACAACAACAACACTATATGTGGAGTCCTGGTGTGGTGCTGTAGTATAAGCACTGAACCACAAAATTGGTTTGGATCTTAAGGTGGGCAATTCAAATTCACCAGTCAGTCATTGGAAACCCTATGCAGGGTCGCTGAGTCAGAACCAACTCGACAGCACCTTAACAGCAATACATGAGAAATGAAGAAGTCTGGGTCATGAGCTGGGCTGCTAACCTCAAGGTCAGCAGTTTGCATCTACCAGTCGCCCCTTGGGAGAAAGATGAGGCTTACAGACTCAGAAACCCTATACAGGGTCGTTATGAGTTGGAACAGA